AGCGCTATTTTCTGCCGTTCCTTTTGAAATTTTAAAGCGCTCATACGACTGTCAGCAAAGCCGTTCCCTTTGGCATTTGTGAGTGACTGTGAGCGTATCGAGATGGCAATTGAAAGTGATATGATTATGTTTTATATAATTATGTTAGCAAATGTTGGATTAGATATAATATGTTTTAATGAAGATAGGATAATATTCTTTTTACTTATGATTATACAGCTATTGCAATTAGTTTATCTGGATATACTTTTATCTATTTTTTCTTCTCCTTTTGCTCCACTGGCTGGTGAATTATAACGCCTTCAACCTTTTCACAAGGTTATATACTATATAGCGCAATACTTTTAACTAAATCGCATAGAGATTATGTAGTTGTTCATACAAATTTTGGTTAGGTGTGTTCCGAAAACACAACGGCCACCGTTCCCTTTGGACGTTTATACGCTTATAGCGCTTTCGTTACCTTAAATATCGATAAAATGAGCAATTGTAAGAACGAGTCATGACGTAATGATGACGTCATCAATGCCTTTCATGAACGCTTATAACGCTAAAAGGAACGGTATAAGCGAAGCTTATAAGCGCTTACAGCGCGTGAGCGTTCAAAAGGAACGCAGCCATACTACGTTATTACGCATGTGTAATAAGTATCATTATTTATAAGTGTTATAAATGCACATAATAACGTTGATATGAAAAACTCAAGGCCTATATAATCACCAGTTGTATAATGAGGTTTTAAGAAAGCATTTTCGTGTATATCATGTTGAAAAAAAAGTATAAATAGCAAGCAATTGTGGTCACACTCGCATTTGCATTGTACGCATCTACCGGTACTGTTCAGTTATATTATTTTATTGTTACAATAAGTCACAAAACAGACTTAGTTATCAAAAAACGCACGCGTCTCCAAAGATTTGCTAATTTGCCAAAATTATAAATTATTAATTCATTGCATTTCACAAGCAGTTTATTGTAGCAAAAATCAAAGTGAAACACGGCCGAAATTTTTCCCGAAAATCTATTAATAATACATTTCGTGAACTTGTAAGGTTCCGGCAACATCTTATTGTAATATCTTCACTGCGACTATATCAGAAGACTGATATATTGCAGTGGAGGTAAAACAACTTTGTGAATAAAGTAAGTAACTTTTTTCAATTGATATTCAATTAAAAGAAGACACATGTGCAATATTTCCTTTGGGACTCGGAGTTCTAACTCTCAAGATTAACTCGTATCTTAGGAGAATCCTGTTTTGTACCCTAAGCGACACAATATTATTGTCTGTGAGTTATCCGCTACAATAAAGATGGGACAGTCTTTGTTTGCCCTACTAATTCTGTCGATGGCGATTATGAGCTTTGGAGAATTGAAAGTTAAATATCAATGGAAATATTTAGATTATGATTTTGACAGTACGGAGCAGAAGGAAAACGCAATAAATTCTGGTATTTATAACCGTTCCAAGTGCATGTTGTACGATGCAGACAAAGCGGATGGTAAGTTGATACCAAATTATTCGAATTTAATAATTTTGTACAAAATTATGTACAAAATTATAATAATATATATATATAATTATTATAATCTATACGTTTTATTATACGTATATAGTTTGATGTTGCTAATGCAACGGATAGCATTATTGTTGCTATGAAATTCGCGAAATAAATATATTTTAATTTTAGTAGCACGCAAGTTTCGCTTACAAACGAAATTCTTTTCTTATAGATGGTAGAATATTCCTTACTACGCCGAAACATATAGGCTCTTTTTCTCCTGCTACTTTGGTGACAATAACTAATAAGACAGGACCAGGAGGTCCACTTCTACGTCCGTATCCAAATTGGAATTCGCATAATAATACGCGGTGCAATGATAGTATGGCAAATGTTATATATATACAAGTAAGTATTATAATATCTTTCATAAGGCGATTATTGCATCTTACATTTATATATTTTATTATTATTAATATAATACATTTATATTATTATTATTATTATATATACATTACATTTTATTTAAATAACTAACAATTTATTATATACTACGTATATCTATGTGCACATACAATAATCAGCTTAATGACAATAGAAATAGAATTTTTACTTTCACCTTAGATTCGGTGCAATCACCTCTTTGCTATGGATAACGGCAAAAGCGACAAAGAACAACTTTGTAATCCAAAACTATTAATCTTCGATTTAAAGGACGATAAGCTAGTTAAAATTATTCCCATCCCATCTAATGTCGCTACTAACCAAACGGGTTTTGGAACCATGGCAATACCTTTCATTTATATTCCTGATGGAGAATGCACGCGGTTTTGGGATAAAATGATTGTTAGTATGTCCTCTCTTTTAATTACAGTAGTACACATTCTTGTAAATATTATTTAGTTATACGTTCAGTTACATCTCATATTTGATTTAAATAATGTAAATATATATACAGATATTTATATCTGACATGGAAGGTTCCGGTTTGGTGGTGTATAACTTGTCCACAAATCGTATGTGCAGAGTTGAATCTGATTACATGAAACCAACTGATACTTTTTTCACTGTAGGAGGCTTTAATTTTACTCATGTAGCAAGTACTTTTGCTTTGACAATCTTATGCGATGGCAAGTATTCGCTTTTTAACACAAAGAATGTTGTTGCGATTATAATATCTTATTATACATGGCGGATATTACGCGCGAATGTTTACTTTAACTTTAAACTGACATTTGCACAATTTCCTTTTCTGGTTTAATATTAAAATTTATATATATATTTATGCTAATTGCACGCTGATAGTTTAAAAAAACATAGAAAATTCTTGCAAATAATCAATGGAATTTTGATCTTTTTATATTTCTTATATAAATGTTTTAGAGCTTTATTATGCTCCTATGTCAGGAAATGAAATCTATAAGATAAAAATAGAAACGCTATTAAAATGTCCTGATAAAAAAAAGGCTAATGAAGAAAGTAAACTCGCAATTAAATTATCAAGCCATACACTACCGATAACAACAGTGGGACAGGAAATAATTTATACCAGTCTTCGGGAAATGTCTATGCACAAATGTTTGTAAGAACTCTAATAAAAGTACGGTAAGATATCCGAACGCAATTATTCTTTACATATCAATTGATGATAAATTATTTCGAATTATACATATAAGATTAATTAAATTTAACTCTAACTTTACATCTAATAATTATTTTATTACTAAAAATAAAATATTAATTTTAAGGTGATTGTGCAAGATTCTGAACAATTGCAATCTATGGCTGGACTGAAATATTTACCTTCGTCGGATCGGCTAATAGTTACATCAACTAGATTTCCAAATTTCGCTTTTGATAAATTAAATCTAGACGATACAAACATCCGCTGTGCCGAAATAGATTTAGCAGAAGTACGGAACAACACAGACCTGTTATCTCCAACTACTTGTGATTTTTAATACTTTAATAAGTATTTTAACATACGTACGATTTATATGTATATGTAATATATACATATATGTGTATATATGTAAAAATTATATATGGTTCTGTATTGCAAAAAATTGATCTGCAAATCTTTTATTCAATTTAATTTTAAGAATATTTGTGAATTACACACATAAATATGTAATAATTAACATATAAATAAATAATTTTTGGTGGATTTTAAAAGAGCATAAATAGCACGTTATTAAACAATTTATTCATTAAATTTTGGTTAAGTGGGAGAGGCAGGGACAGCTAGGCAAACGTTCACTATTCGAAATGTCTGTATTTTACGTATTAAATTTTCATCATGTCGTTTTAATGTAAGCGCATAATTACACTGAGAGAAAAATATAATTTAAATAACCATAATTTAACTATAATTTATAGTGAATTTCGGGCACAACTATAAAATTATAATTAATTTAACCATACAAATTATTAATATAATTAGCTGCTTTAACAATGCAATATGGTTATACATTATGATTGATATTATTATTTTTTGTTTACTTATTTTTTAGTTATTATTACATTACAAATAGTAAGCAAATGTTAAAAAAATAGTTATACTTTTACTATAATTGCAGTTGCATTTACTACATAACAATGTTTATTTCATTTGTATATGTCTTAATATTTTACTATACTAATATTTGAAATTATTATACATAATTTATAGTAAAATTTTTTTATATTTGGTAGAAGTATACATATAAGGTTATTATTACTAACATTACAGTAATAATAACTACAAAAATAGTACTCCTAACCATAATTTTTTTACCATGTAATTATAGTCACAAACAGAAAATATTTTTTTTTTAGTGTAGGGATCTCAGGTTCGAATCTCGATGTTTTCAAAAATTATAAACCTGCGTAAAAAATAAAAATTGTAATTAATAAAATGCGGAATAGCTCACGAATTACATCTAAAAATAATATGTAATAATTAAATTTAAAGATCGGAAGAGC